AGATGGCCGTGTTCATTCCGATCACCTGCGCGTTCGGCTCGGAGGCTCGGGGAGAGTGTTCGTGCCCCGGTGTACGAGGAGGTTTGGGCAGGGAAGGATGAGATTTAGGGGCTTGTTACATCGGCTATAACGTGCTCGAGTTGGAACTTGCGTCGTGAAGGGCACATCACGGCCGCAACTCTGAATCTTTACAACAGAAGGCCCCTTTGGAACCCTTATTGCGAGTAGAAGCTGCCCGTCCTGAAAGTGGAAACCATTTGTGCAACAGGCTTGTGATAGCTCGCCCGGATGTGCACACCACCCACGAAGCGGAAACCCTAAACCCTCAAACGCAAAAATCGAAATCCCACCTTCCCTCGGCTGTTGAGTAGCGGGCCGCCGCTGTTCCTGAAGGCTTATAGGGTTATTAGGGTTTCGGACACAAGCAAGGAAGATTGCACCAAACACAAGGCGCCCGGCATTTCCTGACAAAGCTGGGAATGCTGACAGAACTGCAGGCACCCCAAATATACTCCCCCAAATAGTAGGATCCCCTGTTCAAAAAGGACCCCTATAAGGCACCCCTCTAATTTCGTAAACCCCCGTAGTGCTGCAACATGAACACTCCAGGGCTCCCACCCTGGATTGATGGAAGCATCGGTCTGGATGACCCCTTGGATTGGCCTCCCCCCGCCGGACCTTAGGCGAGATCCGTCGGGGGTTCATGTGACTATTGGGGACATATACTGCTTCTTCCGAGGTTTCTGGGGCAGAGGGGCCAGTGCATGCCATACATCTCCCGCGAGCAATTCGCGAGAATGGTCATGAACCCTGTCCCGGCAAGTCGAACAATGGCTACGTGCTGCAGGGCGGCTGGATGGTGCGCCCAACGCCCGAAACGATGCCCTGTCCAGGCTTGCACTGGATTTTTCGCTGCAGACCGAGAGATGGGGCTGGGTTAGAAGTGCCCCCCACCTTTGTCAGCGTGTGATCCAGGCCGAACCTGTGGCTCAAAGCAAGTGTGGTGGGTTTCAAGGGGCGGGGGATGTCAGTCAGAACGGTCAGGATACTTGTCAAGCCATGTCCATGCCAGGCCAAGCATTTATCCCGATGCCTAAGGCTGTGCCGGCCTACAAGGCACACCCAGCAGTCGGGGGCGGCGCAGTTGAGTTTTGCATAGCAATTGCACAACCTCTCCCCGAACTTGCAAGAACCTGTCAATGCCTACAGTCAACCCCATCATCGGGACGAGGCACGGGTTGCCGATTGCCAGCACCTCCTGGCCGACCTTCAGATTGGCGGAGGTGCCTCGTCTTGGTGTAACTCGGTGTAACTCGCACAACTATCCATCTGTCGCTTCGGTCGAGCGGGGGGGGAGGGGGGTCCTTGTGGAAGCATGGTCTATACCATATGCAAAGGAAAGGTTGGTTCTCCAAAAAAAACGGCGCAAGCGGATTGCGATGGGGAGGGGTTATCCTGTAGGAGCACGGAAGAGCAACAGTTAAAGAGCCACGGTACCATGTTTTGCTTTGAAGCTGTGCCAGCCTGCATCTCAGTGCATTTTCTGCGCGCCTCGGCTCAGTGGTCTCAACATCGCCTTCCGGTTCGCAGGCAAGTCTGCCTCACAGGGAATTGCTAAAGTTCCTGCACCCAAACTCCCACACGACATTGACACGGGCAGTTCAGAAGCTGGGTGAGTTGCATGAATTGCATGAACTGCTCAACAGTGTGAACAAGATGCGAACAGGCAAAGGCGTTCGAATTCTTTCGGTGGAGCTTCTCAGGTGGTTAAGGTTTTTGGACCGGGTCGACAGAATCTCCGTCAATGCACAGATGGGCAGGATTCATAGTGTCGATCTCATGTGTGGAAGCGCAACCACGCAAACTCCAACTGCACATACAATATCAAGTGGATTGGCTTTTATGTGGTGAACGCATGGGCCCACAAAGCCATCAAGAAGACTGGAAATCCCAGAGCCCTCCGCCCAAACTACTACACTACACGATGAACCATGTCATGAATGACCATGGTCGACAGTCCTTGTGCATCCAGAGCAACTTGGCAGCAAAGGACAATCCTCCAAGCCCTCTAGATCCAAAGTCTACCACGAGTTCGATCAACCAATAGAAGCCCGGAACAAACTTTCCTCAGGCTGTTCCTGCAACACTGCAACGTCGCTGTAGGGGTCGGCACCAACGACCTTGGCCAAGACCTCTCCGACAGTCAGGATAGAAAGATTTGGCCCCTAGTGCTTCCTCTGCTTGATTCATCTTTGAACCATATGACACGACTACGGTGCATCGCTTCAGACATGATCTCCCCGAAATCGAAATGCCCTAAGGCCCTTATCTCGCAGAATGCTCAAGGAGGCCTTGCCCTGCCTTGGGTTTGGGCCAAGGGGCGAGGTGGGAGGTGGGCTAGTACGCTGGGGCTGCTTGATCCATGCGATGTACAAAAAAGCCTCTGCAATTTCCCTGGCTTC